CATAGCAAAAGCAGTACTCAGAAAGAAATTTATAGCAATAAATGCCTACATTGGAAAAGAAGAAAGACCCAAAATCATTAACTTTAACTGACAACTTGAATAAATAGAAAAGGTAGAATAAAAGAAGTCAAAAGTTACCAGAAAAAAGAAATAATAAAGATCTGGGCAGAAAGAAACAAAACTAAAACTAGAAAAACAATGGAAAGAATGAACGAAACCAGAAGTCGATTCTTTGAAAGGATCAATAAAATAGAAAAACCAATGGCTAAATTAGCAAAAGAAAGTAAAAACCTCCAGAGGCCAATAACCAAATGAAGAAATGAAATTGGTGACATTACAACTGACCCAACAGAGATGAAGATCATAACCGATTACTATGAAAAATTATACTCCAACAAATTTGAAAATCTAGATGAAATGGGAAAATTCCTAGAAACAGACTCCCTAACCAAACTAACACAAAGGTAGAAAATTTTAAATAGACTCATTACAAAAGAAGAGGTAGATGATGCCATCAAAAAATGGCCAAACCCCCCACACCCCATAAAAAAAAAAAAAAACAAGGAAAGATGGCTACACTAGAAAATTCTACCAAACATTCTCAGATGAGTTGATAACAATCGTATTCAGTCTCTTAAAAAACAGAGAAGAGGGAGGAACATTATGGAACTCTTTCTGTGAAGCCAGCATAAGCCTAATATCTATACCAGGAAAAGATATAAGAAAAAAAGAAAATTACAGATCATCATCTCTTATGAAGAGAAATGCAGAAATTTTCACCAAATTCTAGCTGACAGACTTCAACAACACTATCAAAAAAAAGAAAAAGTCATACACCATGATGAAGTGGGATTCATACCAGGATCATAAGGGTTGTTCAACATTAGGAAATCAATCAATATAATCCACATAAACCAAAACAAAAGAACTTATAATCATATCAATTGATGCAGAAAAGACATTCAATAAAATTCAATACTCTTTCCCGACAAAAACTGTCAGCAAAATAGAAATGGAAGGGAAAATTTTCAACATAATTAAAAGAATATATGAAAAACTAATAGCCAACATTATTATACTTAACAGAGAAAGTCTGAAGGTCTTCCCTCTGACAACAAGAATGAGACAAGAATGTCCACTATCATCACTCTATTCAACATTGTACTGGAAGTCCTAGCCAGAGCAATATGACAAGAAGGAGAAATAAAAAGCATCCAAATCAGAAAGAAAGAAGAAAACAATCTCTACTTGCAGTTGAAATGATTCCATACAAAGAAGATCCTAAAGATTCCATACAAAAAATGATGGAACTAACAAAAGAATTTAGCAATGTTGCAGGTACAAGATCAACACACAAAAATCAGTTGAATTCTTCTACACTAAAAAAGACTACTGCAAAAAAGAAGTCAAGGAAACAATACTATTTACAATAACCCCCAAATCATTAAATATCTAGCAATTAACCTAATCAGGGACATAACAGACTTATGCATGAAAACTATAAGACTGAAAAAGACCTAAAGAAGGAGAAAGACAACCCAAGCTCATTGATTGGAAGACTTAGTATAGTGACACATAGCAACCCCTCCTTGAGTTTCTGAGGCGGTATCACTACGGAAGTAGATTGCCCAACCTTCCTTCCGAGGAGTGTCTGGTGGGTTTGAACCGCCAGCCTTCTGGTTAGCAGTCAAATGCCTTATATTAATATAGCGAAAACATTAATCCTACCTAAAGTGATCTACAGATTCAATGTAATCCTGATACAAATTCCAACAATATTCATTACTGAAATGGAACAATTACTGACCAGCTTCATAAGGAAAGGATAGAAATCCCAAATAGTCAAACCAATACTGAAGAAAAAGACCAAAACAGGAGGTTTCACACTCTCCAATATCAAAACATAAGCTATAGACACTGTAATCAAAACAGCCTGGTTTTGGTTCAATGATAGACACATAAATCAGTGAAGAAGAATAGAGAAGCTAGAATTAAACCCTATGGACAACTGATTTTTGACAAGGGGTCAAAGCCCATTCAGCAGGGCAGAAAAAGTCTCTATAATAAAAGGTGTTGGCTGCAGAGGTGGATAGCCCAAACCTTCCTTTCCGAGAGTGGCTGGTGGGTTTGAACCGCCAGCCTTCTGGTTAGCAGTCAGAAGAACTCCTGGGACTATTCTTTAAGGGCATGCTGAAAGGAGCTCTAGGAGCTCTGGTAGCATAGTGCCTAAGGCACCTGACTGCTGACCAGAGGGCTGGCGGTTCAAACCCACCAGCCATTCCTTGGAGGGGGCTTGGGCAATCTATTTCCATGGTGATGCTGCCTCGGAGACCCAAGGAGGAGTCGCTATGAGTCTGGTCTGACTCGACAGCACATAACAACAACAAAACTCAAGTGGTAGTCTTTTAAGGTCAGCAGAATGTGGTGCTGTGGAATCTGAAAACTATCAGTTAACTTCCTCCTCTGTATATTAATATTTATTGGTTTGTCATACATGATAAATAAATATTTTAACTATGAAAAAAAAAATAAATAAACAAAAGGTGCTGGGAAAACTGGATACTTACCTGCATAAAAATGAAGTAAAACCCCTTATCTCACATCACACACAAAAACTAACTCAAAATGGATCATAGATCTAAATGTTAAATCTAAAATCGTAAAATTCCTGGAAGACAATATAGGAAGAAATCTATGGGAATTAACCTTTTGTAAAAAAATAAGATAACAAATATTAACAAATGAATGAATAGAAAAATAAATAAATAAAATAAATGGGACCTCTAAAAATTAAAAACTTATGCTCACCAAAAACAAATTTTATTAAAAGAGCAAATAGGCAGCCTACAGATTGGGAAATGTCTTTGCAAATGAGTTATCTGATAAGGTTCTAATTACTAAAATCTATAGAAAACTGCAATAACTAAACAACAAAAAGCCAACCTAATCACAAAATGGCAAAGGACATAAACAGAATCTTCACTAAAGAGGTCACCCAAGCAACCAACAAACATATGGAAAGATGCTCATGACTATTATCCATTAGAGAAATGCAATCAAAACTTTAATGAGATACCATCTTACCCCAGCTAAAACGCCACTGATTAAAAACAGGTAACAACAAATATTGTAGAGGATCTAGGGATATTAGAACTTTATCCATTGCCTGTAGGACTGTAAAATGGTACAAGCACTTGGAAAATGGAATAGCACTTTCTCAAAAAACTAGAATTAGAACTACCCTAAGATCCAACGATCCCACTCGTAGGTATACACCCTAGAGATCTAAAAAGAAAGACATGAACAGACATGCACACCTGTGTTTACTGCTTTATTCACAACAGCAAATAAATGGAAACAACCAAAGTGTCCATCAATGGATGAATGGATAAGTAAACCATGGTACATACATACAATGGAATACTATGAGAACATAAAGAAAAACAATCAGTCTGTGAAACACATTATAGTATGGATGGACTTGGAGGGTATAATGCTAAATGAAATGTCAAGCATATAACGACAAATATTTTATGATCCCTCCTTTAGAAGAAGATAAGAATAGATAAATACAGAGAGACCAATGTTCACTGGTGGTTACCAGAAAGAAGAGTAAGGTGAGGAAAGTATGCTTTACACAGTAGAGACTAGTTATTTTTGGTGATGGGGAAAGTGGCACTGATTGTGGATATAGTAAACACAGAACAAGAAGCATTTGAGAACATATGGAAGTATATAGGCAAAATGGTATATAGGTAGGTACAGATGACTATATAAGTGAGAACACACAGAAGTATTTACAAGTACATGTAAATACCAATGTGTGGGTGCACAAACACAGATACTCCTCAGACATAACCAAACACCTTCCAACACTAGGTTTGAAGGCTTAGGACCGTAGTCTCATGGGACAACTCAGTCAACTGGCATAGTTCACAAAAATCATGATCTGCATCTTTGTGAAGTAGGAGTCTTAAAAGCTTGTGAGCAGCCATGTAAGACACAACTACATGTCTCGACTTGCCAGGAGCCAAACAGTAAGAAGGTAACTATAAGTGCCGAGAAGAAACAAGTCCAAAAGAGCTACAACCTTATCTAGGCTAAGACCAGAAGCACTAGATGGTGCCTGGCTGACCATTCCGACTGTGGCGACAATAGCTGGTCCTGAATAGGAAGGGAAAAAATGTGGAGCAAAACTCAAATTCTAATTAAAAGGAAAAAAAAGTCAAGCAAACTGTAACAGCAGATAGCGGAGGACCCCCTGAGACACATTTTGAAGCCAGAATTCTAATTTCTTTGTGTAAGCAAAGAACTTGAGCATTATTTCCCATTATGAGGTATCTAAGGTGATTTTAATAGTGTAAGGATCAAATTTTTATTATACAGTTTTACATGTATTTTGACATGTGTCAGAAAAATCCTAGTTTCTTCATTTAATTGTATTTTAAAATATTTTAAATGAAAAAAATGAATCAACTTAAAGGAAAGTTTTTAAGAAAATAATAATATAAGTGGAATGGAAATATAGTAAAAGTTACAAAAATAGCATACAAATGATATAGACTTGGTAACACAGAGGAAAAATTAAGACACTGGACTTTCAAAATAATGTATTTTCCATTTGGAACTAGTAAAGGAACAAGTAAAATAACAAAAAAAATAAAGCAAAATAAAATTTCTTCACATCTAGTGATTCACAGATATTAAATCAGAAAAAGATACCTTTTAAAACTTAAAATGTCTATGGATCTATTTAGAATTAAACATGAGTTCTGAGATCTCATTAGCTATTTCTTCATTCTGAATATATTCATGGAGGATGCATATTTTAAAATATAATTTTATTCTAATGTATATATTATTTCTGAATGATTTCTTCAGAGCATTATTTCTATAACGATTGCTTTAGCAATATTTCAGTACCCTCTGTTTTCAAAAATTTTCTTATGATTGATGAACAATAATCACAATAATGTATTCCATTCAACAAATGCCCTTACCAGGAAACTTTGAGAGCTGTGCCAGGCAGTGGGCAGGTTTTATTATCCTGATTTAAAATGCTAGGGTACACATCAAGGCCAGCATGTACGGTGATAACTGGTCGGGCTCTGGTTTAACAAAAAGTGGAAAAAAAGAAATGTTATACTGTTCCAACCATTTAAGTTCAGATTCACAGTATACACAGTGCAATGAAGTCTAATAAAGAAAATAATAAAATAGAAACAACCTAAATATAAGATGACCAGCCATCACGGTTTGGCCACGACTATTCTGATTTTAGCACTGAAAATCCTTGTGTCTAGGGGAACCCCAGAACAAACTGGGACAGTTGGTCACACTAGCTAAACTCAGTCTCTTAAAGCAGATTAGTTCAGTAAATTGTGGGATATCTACCCAACTCCAAATAATACCATGGGAAAAATGAGACTGTAAATCCATCTGTGTTGATATGCAATGACCTCTAAGATATACCCAAGATACAATTTTAGTAGAAGAGAAAAAAAAAAAAACACTTGATATAAGGGATATAAAGGATGTATATGCACCTGCATACATTTTTTTTAATGCATAGACTATTTCTGGTAGGATAAACAAACACATTAGTGAGTGGTGTAGAACAAAATATTTTTTTAAAAATTATTACATCATTTTTGTATAGTCTGAATTTTTAATATTTGCATGTATTATTTCATTAATAATCATTTAAAAAACAAATACAGTAAATTAAACCCCAGTTTTCAAAAGTTCAGATGCGCAGATTTAAAATCTGTACAAAAGTACAGTAGGCTCAGGTCAGCAAACTTGTTTGAAAACTCTAAATCTCTGGGATTTATAAGTGCACATGTTTCCCTTATAGTCACAATAAGTTAACCCACCACAAACTCTGTCAGTTTTCCTGCCATGTGTAAACATGGCCCATAGACACATAAACATCTTCATCTTCTTGGAAGATGATATTCTAAGGCATAATGAACTGATGAAATAGAGAGAATGACTGGGAATATGTATAAATTTGGCAAACAGAAATATGTAAACTTCATCATGTTTCTCTAATAAGAATATTCATTACTAGAGTCATTACATACTGTCCTCATGGTAACAGAATACTATGTCAAAAGTACCAAGTTAATTTCTTGTCTCTTACAATAACATGTAAACTCATGTAATTTTAAAAATGGGATTAAAAACACAGAATATCTTTGAACATAAGTAGAACAGTAAAGAAGAAAAATCCTGAATGCTTTTCTAAATAAAAATATCTATAGTTTTCTCTTCCTTAGTTCTTCTTTGTATAAATACCATAAGGAGCCTGGTGGTATACTGGTTAAGTACTTGGCTGCTAACCAAAAGGCTAGCAGTTTGAACCCACCCAGGAGCTATGCAGGAGAAAATTTTGGTGATCGGCTCCTGTAAAGACGACAGCCTAGAAAACCCTATGGAGCAGTTCTTCTCTAGCACACCGAGTCACTGAGTTGAAAATCAACTCATTGGGATCCACTGAACAATAAATCTTGAAAGAACAAAAAACTTTCATCAATACTGCAAGAGAATAAGACTGAAATTCAAACACTGGTATTTAATGATAAAGCTTTCAAATTATTCAGAATATCCCTATATTACAGGATATGGAAATATGCTCACCTGTATAAGACAGCTCGGTCCACACCAAAAGCTCCTACAATTAAATCTTAAGAAATAGTGCAAGAATATATTAATAATAATAATGGTTCTTAAATTCCCATACCATTCTATAACACCTCCAATATATAATAAAGATGTAGACATATCCTTAAAAATATTCTTGAATAAGTGGTTGTAAGAGAACAGTTAAAAGGCTAAATAAAATATACGAAAACTGTAAACAAGCTATCATGAACAACAAACGTTCATCATAAAACTAAGCTTTCATCTAATAGACAAGATTTTTTATGGCCATTATGATATTCTAAGGCATAACAAATTGTACTTAATGTATAACTGTACCATTACAACAGATAAATGCATTATAAATGCCTATGAATTTTACATTTCAAAACATAACATAAAACCAAAAAAAGCATAATACATATACTCAGAATATGATAGGAAATTGTATTCAAATCAGCAAGAACAGAACACATTAGTACAACTGGTTCATCATCTGGAAAAAATTAAAATCTGAGCTTCATCTCACATTAAGCTAAACTTGAGGAAACCCTCTCCAAGCAAAAAAGTATATAAGAAACTATAAAGCCAGGTAGATTAGATTACATAAAAATTAAAAAGTTCTTTATGCCCAAAGTATAAAGGTAACAAACTGGGAAACGTGAGAGTTAAAGGCTTAATATCCTTACTATATAAAGCATTACCACAGTGCTTTACAGAAAGGGAGAGAAAAAAAAAATCAATGAAAGAAAAGAAAAACAACATTCTTATAGAAAAGAAGAAAAAGACTAAAGAATAATGAAGAAAACCAGAGATGCATGGAAACAATTACTCCAAACGACTGGTACCCCATGCAATCTGCAGCCTATACGACTATGAGACCAGAACTCCATGGTGCCTGGTTACCTCTGTCAACCACTGGGAGGGGGAATCTGTGTAGGAGATCCTAGATAGAGTGGGAGAACAATGTGGAACAAACCTCAAAATCATTTGGAAAATAAAAAAGGGACCAGTTTGCTGGTCTGATAGAACCTGATGGAACCACTGAGACTATGGCCCCTAGCTGCCCTTTAAGTCTAGAATTGAACCCATTCCTATGGCTACCAACCAAACGAAACACAGGCATATGGGGTGAACATTTACACACTAGGTAGATACACTCCTTAGAGAGAACAATCATGGGAGAATAGGAGCGCCGTGTATGCACAGGGAGATAGCTCAGGGGGCAGGAGTGCATGGAGGCGAGGACTCAGGTAACTATGGGGAAGAAGTGGGAGGTGAGCTGTTGCATTGTGGTAAATTGTAATCAATCTCATGAGACAAAGTGTATGTGAACTGCTGTATGGAAAGTGAATCTGCTCTATAAACTTTCACCCAAATCACAATTTAAAAAATTAAAAAAATACATACTGCTTTTTTGAACAATTGTCTTCTTTGCCATGAGACCAAAAAAACTAAATGGTACTAAGTTACCATTACTGAGCATTTTGATTAAAGATTCCATAGAAAAATCCTGATCAAAAGCGGGAAAATGCAGAACAAGAGTATTAAATGCTCATGGACTCCATACTTCCTGGAGCCATGGAGGCTGGATAAACCCCTGAAACTACTGCCCTGAGGTAATCAATAAACCAAAAACATCCTCTGAAGTCTTCTTAAAACCAAACAACAGTTTAGCTTACCTAGTTAAAAAAAAAAAAAAAAAGGTCTGCCTTGAGTATTATGCTCTTTAAAAAACTATATACAGGATCAAACTGACAACAATACCTCAAAAGATTAAATAGAACATTAGGGGGCACTAAGCTTTTGTTAATGATGGAAGAACAACTCAGAAACAGAGGGTGAGAATGGCTGCACAACCTGACGTATATTATCAGTGTCACTAAATTGTACATGTAGAAAACTTTTGAATTGGTATATGCTGTGCTGTATATATTCTCAACAACAACAAAATACATAAAATTTAAAGAAAAAAATCTACAGACCTTTGACATAGCATTTCAAGAATTTTGTCCTAATGAAATTATCAGAAGTATGCACTAGAATTATATACAAGAATATAATGTCCATCAGGGAACTCTAGTAGCATAGTGCCTAAGGCATTTGACTGCTAACCAGAAGGCTGGCGGTTCAAACCCACCAGCCACTCCTCAGAAGGAAGGTTGGGCAATCTACTTCCGTAGTGATACTGCCTCGGAAACCCAAGGAGGGGTAACTATGAGTCAAGTCCGACTCGACCGCAGTGTGTTTGGCTTTGGTTTGGTAATGTCCAACAATGCTAAATAAGATAGGATATCTCACCTGACAGAATGAGAAACATAAAATCCATGTTTTACAAGACTAATAATAAATAACATGGGGAAATGTTTGATTCTCTAAGTGAATAAAGTATGCTATAAACAGTGCATAAAGCATGATTCTATTTTGTAAAATGTGTGTGTGTGTGTGTGTGTAAATACATAGGAAAAAAAGATTGAAAACTGCTGCATTTTTAAAGTTCTATAATAAAAAAAACAAAAATTCACTGCCATCGAGTTGATTCTGACTCATAACAACCTATAGGACAGAGTAGAACTACGCTATAGTGCTTCCAAGGCTGTAAACCTTTAGGGAAGCAGACTGCCTTCATCTTTCTCCCACGGAGCAGCCAGTGAGTTCGAACCCTCAACCTTTTGGTTAGCAACTGAATGCTTTAACCACTGTACCACCAGAGCTCCTTTCTACAATAAGCATATTGTATTTATAATAATTTTAAAAAACTCATTAAATAACAAAGGTTAAGAGAACCAATTTCATGCCCTATTTCTAGAAGCATTTCAACATACTTGCATATTGAGTCCACATTAACTGTTTTAATTATCTCATCTAAATTTTTTGCATTGTATTCATCTAAAGAAAAAGGAGTTCTTCATTCCTGGATCCATTATGATACTCTGAAATGCACAGGAGGCAGAAGAAGGTCTAGTTCTCTCTACCAGCTCAAACATGTGAGAAACTTTGGGCAAATTACCTTCCTCAATTTCTTTTTCTCATCCAGAAATGGTGTAACAACAAGCTAAACTAGCTTATATTCTTTAGAAGGCATACTAGGAGAATCAAATGAAACAATATATTTAAAATGCATTTCAAAAAACCACAATGATCAGTGAAGGCCATGTACATGTTGGGTCTTTGAAAAAAGATGGCTAACAATTAAAAAACATAAAATGAGCATTTAAGCTTTTATTTAGGAGCTCTGGTAGCATAGTGCCTAAAGCACTTGACTGCTAACCAGAAGGCTAGCAGTTCAAACCCACCAGCCACTCCTCAGAAGGAAGGTTGGGCAATCCTACTTCTGTAGTGATACTGCCTCGGAAACCCAAGGAGGGGTCGCTATGAGTTGGAGCCGACTCGACGGCACACAACAACAACAAGCTTTAATTTATAATTTCTACAACATTCTTCTCTTACATTTCATTGTGTGCTTCAAGACAACAGAAGAAGAAATTCAGTAAGTGTATATGTTTCCTATTGCAGACACCCAGAAAACAGAGCTGTCTTTGCTTTGTGTCTCTATCAGTGATGAAAATAGGGTCTTGAATATATTAGAGGCTTGATCAGTACTCGAAATATTGAACTGAGATTATTTATAACATATATCAAGAGAGCAGCAACTAATACTACTTGCTATTAGGACTGAAAAATCTAAGCATAAATAGATATACCTGGATATCCATTTTTGTCTATATCTGTGGCTCCTTTCATTGAATAGCCAAAGCTTGGGGGCATGCTCCGAGCAGCCCACTGCCCTTCTAGGATCTGAGATGGCACTGCATTCAAGCCTGTTGATCTTCCATTGAAGATATAAACAATTCCTTTTTTATCTTCACCCCCATATGGAGCAGCAATTGCAATATCTGCAGGGGGAAAAAAAGAAGGAAAGTAAGAAGGGGAGGGAATGGGAAAAAGACATGGGGAAAGAGTGAGAGAAAGAAGAGGAGAAAAAGAAGAGGGCAAGGATGGAGAACAAGAAAGCCTTAGAACTTATTATTTATTTATATGGAGAAGACACCAATATTTAGAGACTCCACTTGCCATGATAAATAGTAATCTAAAGTTCAGTGGTGTACTCTTTATTCAAAAGCAACAATTCATGGAGATTCAAGAGAAACTGTAGAAATGACATTAATCTGGAGCCACATATTCTGAGTTTGACCTTTCTGGACCTCAACTGTTTGATCTTTAAAATGGTAGTTAAGGGAGGGTTTCAAAAGATTTATCTAAGTTTCATTTAGCTCTCAAAACTCTAATTAATTGATTTAGGCATAGTTTTTGGTTCCTTCTGAGCACGAATCCATCTGGCTCAGAAATCTGCAAGTTATCAAATCATTTTGATCTTGCTTAACATGCACTGAAATAATGTAAACAAATAAGTTTATTTAATTTTTTTTGCATAAAGCAACAGAAATTTATGTTCTCACAGTCTGGAGGCTAGACATCTAAAATCAAAGTGTTGGAACAGCCATACTCCCTCCTAAAGATTTAGAGAAGAAACCTCCTTTTTAGTGTTTAGTGCCTGCTGGCAACCCTTGGTGTTCCTTGGCTTGTACATGCATTACCCCAATCACTCTTTCCTTTATCAAATGTCCATATCTCTGTGTCTGTCTCTTCTTAAAAGAACTCTAGTGGTTAGATTTAGGCTCAACTACTACAGTATTAGGAGCTCTGGTGGCATAGTGCTTAAGGTATTTGACTGCTAACCAGAAGACTGGTGGTTCAAACCCACCAGCCACTCCACGGAAGGAAGGTTAGGCAATCTACTTCTGCAGTGATACTGTCTCAGAAACCCAAGGATGGGTTGCTATGAGTCAGATCCGATTCAACCGCCATGTGTTTGGTTTTTGTTTTTGGCATTCCAGTATCACCTCATCACCTTGACTCACTCCTTAATTACTTCTGCAAAGACTGTATTTCCAGATACAATCCCATTCACAGGGGGAGGCATTAAGGACTTGAAGCTAACTTTTTGGGAGACATAATTCAACCCATTTTAGATCCTCTGAGGTTCAGTTGTATTACTGCATACCTGGTACATATGGTCTATAAACCTTTTATTATTGACATAAGCATTAATAGCTTTACAACTATAGATAATGACAGATACTCTTTTTTTTTTTTTTTTGTCCACACAAACCAAAATTTATTAAAGAGAGAGGAGAGGGAAGGGGGCTTGTGAAGGAGAGAAGGAGAGGGGCTCTCACCTCTGCTAGCCTTCGGTCTCTCCCTTTTTTTAAAATAATGTAGATTACCTATTCCCCTTCAGAGATTCTAAGGGAATACAGTTTAACAAGTCTTCACAATTTCAGTGAAGAGAATATCAAGCATTAGTATATTTATTTATTTAATTTTGGTGAAAATGTACACACAACAAAACATATACCCATTCAACAATTTCTACATGATTTCATTTTCATCTTGCTCAATATGTACTGAAATAATGTAAACAAGTAGGTTTGAATTTCTTTAAAAAAAAAAAATCACAAATGGTGACTCTCACCTTTTCTACCTCTAATACTACAAATATGTCCACTTTGCTCTATCTGTGCCACTATGACCCTAAATACACTACTCAGCTTTTTCCTGGACCCCCCAGGAACAACCTAAGTGCCCTCCCAGTTCTCCTCTTGCTCCTTTAACCCACTCTCATTGAAACTACCAAACGTTCAACAGATCATACCGCTCCCTCCCTAAAAATCCTTCAATTATTTCTGAAAGCATTTAGAATAAGACCTAAACCCTATCTGGTCTGACCACTGCTTACTCTGTAAATCTCATTCACTGCACACTTTCTTCCTTGTCCCACCCAGTCTTACTCGTTCACTCTCCCCAGTGCCTCTGTTTCTTAAACACGTGGAGACAGTTTCCTTCCCTGGACTGACGCACGCTGTTTCCCCTGAATAGCTCTTGCTCTACAGCTTTCCAAGCTTGCCTCCTACTGCAAACCAAGCGTCATCCCCTCAGAGGTCTTCCCTGACCACCCTCTAAAACAACACACTCTCTGTCTCTTGATCCCCTACCCACCAGCTACCAGGCACTCTCTGTCACATCACCTTCTTTTTTTGGGGACCCATAGCCTTCATCACCATCTGAACTTTCCCATTATTTGTTTATTAACTTACTCTATCACTCATCTACAAAAATATAAGTTTCAGAGCTCAGGGACCATGTCTATCTTGCCTATATGATTTGGTCCACATTAACCAGCCATACCAAAATGTCACAATTTCCTTATTGTACTCAAATTATTTGATGCCTCTTTGATGACATACTCCTGAGATATCAAAGACGCCCTGATCACTCATCCTTTATGAGACTATCATGCCCAGGAACAAACACTGGGATGATCAAATTCTAGTGAATACTTGCTTCCATATTTGTTGTCTTATTGACTGCTGGGTTCCTTAAGGACACAAATGGGCTAATGCAGCCTCTCATTTTCAGCACCTGGAAAGTGCTTTTTCTGCAGTTGGCACCAATTAAAAATTTGTTGAATAAGCTTGTTACCATTAAAAAATAATAGTATTTAAATATATAAAAGCTTTCTTCTGTTTCTCTTTTTTTGAGCTTCAAAAGATAAATGCAATTTCTAAATTGATACATGCATTAAGAATGTATTTATTAAAATACAATTCCCCACCAGAATCTCACTAACACTTGAGATTATTTAATGAAAATTATCAGTACCTTTCTAAATCCTTCATTTTCTCATACATTCTAATCATCTCTCTTGAGGCTGTCACTCATCTAGAAAGGAGAGTCCTTTTTCTTCATGCAGTCTAGTTCTTCCTTCAATCATTTTAGGTGCTGTTTTCTGGTTGTTCCCCTCCCCCCTTTTTCTCTTTGAGAGGTATTGACCAAAACAGCACATAATCATCCCCAAGGTAATATAAAAGTGAAGAACTTAGGTATACTGGGGTTTTTTGTTATTTTTTTCTTTTGGTATCCCTCTGAATGATACCTACTGTTTTCATAATGGGAGGAGGTAGAAAGGGCACAATATAGGAGGAACAAAGGATTAAGGGCTTCAGGTAGGAACAAAAAAAGAACAGATTATAACTTAGAGCTGTTATCCAGTTACACGAAAAACAACTCAGATCACTTTCCACTAAAGACCTTACCTTTTTCAGTGTACCATGTGGACAGTAAGATCCCAGGAGAGGCTATGGAAGACTATATTCAGCCTCTGCCATGCATCCCTAAAGAACCTTTTAGTAAAGTCTCTGTAAAATCTCATTTTTTTGTTGTGGTTACTGTTCATATTTGTCTTCATGGTAAATAACACATTTTAACAAAAAAGCAGAAAGCAGGATAAGATGTAGGCTGGACCACGATAGTGAGAAAAAATTCTTTAAAGTGGATAAAAACCCTAGAGATACTATGACAGCCAACATGCCAGAAAACTTCTCCCAGGAAAAAAAAGACCTGGAAGACAGAGGCTGAACTACTGCAGAAAACTCACTAACTTTATTCAAGACATTACTTCATATCTGATCTGTGTTTTCTAGTTGTTTTTGTTATTAATGAGTAATGGCTTCATCTGTTCTACAGTATTCTTTTCAGTTTCCACTGTTACCTACATACTATTGATCTATTTTACTTATGTTAAGTTCTCTTGATGGTAAAAATTTTTAAAGACAATTTTAAAAAGCAAAAGGTACTTTTGAGTAGTTTTGCTCTAACAATGAAGAACTTTTAAAGTGAAACTTACAGATGACATTTTTAGTACATGTCATAAAACTACCTACAAGGCAGGAATGGAGTCTGGAGGTCAAACAGATACATTCCTTTCCACTACTACTTATGAAATGTCAGAATCTTGTCTATTTTTGAAGTTTTCTTATAGATATATAACATTATATTTTAAGGGGCATATCCCTACATATTATTGATTACACACGCAAACCAACAGTTAACAATCTCTGTTCTATGATTGCTTTTTGTTGTTATGTGCCGTCGAGTCAGACTTGACTCATAGAGACCCCTCCTTGGGTTTCCGAGGCGGTATCACTACAGAAGTACATTGCCCAACCTTCCTTTCGAGGAGTGGCTGGTGGGTTTGAATCACCAGCCTTCTGGTTAGCTGTCAAGTGCCTTAGGCACTAGGCTACCAGAACTATGATTACTAAAAAGGTCTTTAATAGTATTCTTTAAAAAAAAAAAAAAAAAAAAACTTGTTTATTTGTAATCTATATTTCACATTTCAGAAAAGTGCTCTATAATGAAAGTGGACTGTTTTTTTAAATATGTCTACAGTTCTGGTAGCGTAGTGCCTAAGGCACCCACCAGCCACTCCTCGGAAGAAAGATGGGGCAATGTTCTTCCATAGTGATACTGCCTTGGAAACCCAAGGAGGGGTCACTATGAGTCGGGGTCGACTCGATGGCACATAACAAGAACAACAACAACACAGTTATTGAAATGGACCTCTGGGCTTGCACCTTTAGTGTGCCCCACATGAAGGGAGATATAAGAAATAACAACTCCCTCAGAATATTTTATGTAACCAGAGCAAAGTTAAAGCTTTAAAAAATGTTCTTCACGAATCAATCCTTGCCTTTGAAGTATGCATGAGGTACACATTTGCATCAGCACTGCCTAGACAGTGTGTTAGGACTATTTTTTACACTTCAGCCAACTAGACAGTAGAGGGCACTGTTGCTAAACAGGACACCTTAACCAAAAAAAAATTAGATCCACTGTCATCAAGTGGATTCCAACTCATAGAAACCGCCATTGGATTTCCAAGGCAGTAAATCTTTATGGAAGTAGATTGGCCTGTCTTCTTCCTATGGAGTGGTTGGTGGGTTTGAACTGCCAACCTTCTGGTTAGCAGTGAAATACTTTAGGCACTGCACCACCAGCGCTCCACAGACACAGGCACATGGAAAACAGACACATGGAAAATCGTAGCTAGTACTTCACACATTGGGCAAGTAGATTCCTTTCAGAAAGTAACCCTTCCAACACTCTAATTTGGAAGTGCTTGGATAATAATTCATGGGATCCATTTTAGAAAGCTTTGCTATAATTTTTCAAAGAAAAAAAGCAACATGCCTTTTAATAGGTTTGTCACTCAATCTTTCTTTCCAAAAAGGTTTCCTCCAGTAAAATTCTACAAACAAGGTTATAGGACTTTTCCAGATGGGCAGAGGAAGTCAAGGAGCCACAGCTGCTGAACTTGGATCTTACCATTATAGCCATCCTGGTCCAGGTCTCCCAAAGGTGCTATAGCACTGCCGAACCTTGCAAAGACTTCAAACCCATTCAGCTTTGTCGTCTGGAAGTCTCCTGAGGCTCTTTGCAGAGATACTGAGACCTGACCCACTTCCTGGAGTTTGCCATCAGAGCCACGATCCATGAAGAGAGGTGCTCCAATAAACACATCTGCATAACTAAAAGAACAGATTATTTCCGCTAAAGCAAGATGAAATCTCATCTGATTATTAATCACATTTTCTTATTAAAACTCAGTTTCCCTCTTTTCACATTTCTCACAGGCACACTGAAGTACAAAATGGATAACAGCAATTATTTAAAATTCAAGCCTTCCTTCAACTCGATTCATAAAACTACTTTATTCTTTGATGGCATAAAAGCTGAAAATGCGACCAACATACAAGTTTTCTAATATTCATAATTAAGTTATTTCTAATTGGTTTCTTCCATAGGAAGATTAACAAGAAGGGGACAAGGAAACAGAAGAAACAAAATACTTAGTTTTAGTACAGTATTCATAAACATGAGAGAAAACAGTGTCTGGAAACATTGTTGTAAACTTACTCATCCCCATTAATGTCAGTGGCAGCTACAGAAAATCCAAAATATGCAGCCATCTGGATAATAAGATGAAAATGAAATGTTTACAGTTCATCCCACAAGTTCAGACAATTAACTTTTGTAGTACACTTGGCAAATAAAGTTTTTTTTTTTTTCCCTCTGCATATAGTCCTTCCATCTAAATTTCTTTTCTTTTGGTTATTCTAGTAACATAATGACAATCAGGTAGTGAAGTCTGTTTATTTCCCTAGATTTATGGTCAAAACATATTCCCTATATATCATTCCAATGTCTTCAACACATGTCATTTAAAGGCAAAGTAAAATCAACTTTCCTTCCCAGTCCTAACCTTTTCTCTCCTTCCTCTCCACTACCCCTAACACTCCAGACAGCAGACATACTCCAGATCAGACGGTTTAACTGAATCCATGAAGTTTTGTATGAACATCTATGCAGTAAGGATAATAGGTAACAATTATTAATGAAACAAAAGTTGGTTCTCCTACGTGGAACTATTGCTACTATAAAGAAATTACTGTTTGAAAAGGTATGGAGAGAAAGTAGTTTTTGTCTCACAGCTCAATCAATTACTTGCCAGGTCTCGTTTTGCTTTTGAATTTCATACAATAATTGTGTACAAATGTGTTTGGGCTTATTACAGGGTTATTATGGATGGCCTCTCCCCCAGCACAACAGATGGCTAGCCATCAGAGACAGAGCAGCCTGGCTGGAAATAAATGTGAAAAGGGAAATTCTAAAGAAAGCCCAACAAGCAAAATGAAACTAGTAAAGATGACAAATTAAAGCTGAACCAAGCCAAAGAATGAGTCAAAAATACCAAAAAGGAAAGTTAGCAATGCTTCCACAAATTGATTAGCTGAGTTATCAGGATTAAATAAGGGAGATTCCGACATTATATACTTTGGTAGATACAGTGTAACAGAAAATTAAAGGCCTGTTTGTATTCAATCACAAAATCACACATGTACAATGAAGTACACTTTGTCTAGAGTACCAGGTTGACTGCAATTTAACAGAATAATGTTCTTGGGTCTTAGTCTCACACAGTGTTTGCCTTGAAAGTGTAAAGAAAGGATGGTGTTTACTGGGACAAGCTTTGTCCTGGGCACTATGACTGAAGTGTTTTCATTTGATTCTCAAAACAGCCGCATGAGGAAGTAAAACAGTATTACTATTTTTGCAAATGAGAAACCAGATCCACAGTGTCAAATGCCTTGTTCACTGCAACAACAGACTGAATATAGAGAGTCCAGGTTTGTCCTAAACCAAAGCCTACGCTTTTTGCCCCACAAAATGGCCAAGGAAAAATATACAAATGATCCAGAGAATTGCACATAGGCAACAGACAGAAGTTGTTTGAGGGCAAGAAGTCACAATGATACAAAGGGATAACCACCACTGCATCCACTATAACCCGCCTTCAAACTGTAGGCCACTGCATGTTGTGCAGCAACCTGACTGCAACAGAAGCAGGAAGAGCCCGCTAGGGGCCATGAGTCTAGTTCCTCATCATCAATCTTCTTCCGAACTCCAACAATCTGTAAGCTGGGATTCATTTTTCTATCTACTGTTTAATTTTTCCATTATCATTACTAACTTATTTAATTCTGTGAGACATATGACACAGAATATTATAAAATGCTTGAATTTATAACATCTACTACTTAAAACTATTACTTTTTAACAGAAGAATGTGTTATTTCATACAGTTCAAATAAATGAAGTTTGGTTATATTATCTATAATAGGCATATTTGTGCCATTCTTTCTTACATATCTACGAAAATTAAAAGACATGTATTAAATTATAATTTAATTTCATCACCAATGAAAGTTTTTGTGTTTTTGTTTTTGTGTGTGTAACTCGTAAGCATAAATCTGATCTTGTATTTCCTTAAAAATGCCCAAACCAGAGAAACAAAAACCGCAGACATAATATGGAATCTAAGGCTGTTTAAAATATTTAAAGTCTACGTTATATTTATAATACTGAATATTCTGAGATCTTTAAACCATTATGATGTTGCCAAGAAAACTTTTAAGAAATTAGGAAATGCTGATGATAATACATTAAGATGAAAAAAAAAAAAAAAAAAGGCAACATACAAAATTAAAAATACAGTGTAGGACAATTTTTGTTTTATATACACACATTCACACATACAGAAGAGAAAGAAGACATCAAAATGATAACAGTAGTTATATTTGTTTGATAAAATTATAGTTAACTTCTATTTTTGTTTTCTAAACTTTCTCCCATGAATATATACTGCTTTTACAATAAGAGGGGAAAAATATTATTTTGAAAGCATACCTGCTCACCAGTAAAATTGTGTAAGGAAGACATGTTTTTCCCATCATAGATACAAACCTGTACAGGAAAATCAAAAATATGTAAAATATAATGCAATATAAGATGAGCCAGGAAATTTTAAAAACACCCTTTAACATTCCTACCATTCCCAAAGTCCTTGCTGCTCGTGGAACTCCTGAAACAAAATCTGGAAGAAAAGGAAAAAGCCTTAATCACTCATTTTAAGACCAAGACTGGAAATTACAGGAGGGAGTAGATGTGTCAGAAAGCTTCTGTCTTATTATTGGAGTAGAAAAGTAAAATTGGTAGCCCGTAACAAATGACCCCAGCATTTTTTAACCACAAGATCAAATCTTTATACAACTAGAAAGACTACTGAGGACTCTCAAATAAACCCAAGCTTGCCCTCAAGACATTCGTAATCCTGTTAACAAGAATAGATAAGATAAAGTGACCTAAGAATGGTGAAAGGCTGTATTTACACTATTGAAAAAGAATGTAGAGCAAACTGAAATGTCACAAAAATCAGGTGCAGTCCATCCTTCCTTAATCGAGCTCTCAAGGAAGACTGATAGACAGAAGGAGATACATCACAGACACAGATCTGTAGGCAGAAGGTCACAAATTACGCCTAAAGAAGGAAGAAATTGAGCCTCTCCAATAGGAATAACCTTGTTGAAAGCAAGGAAGGAGCTGGAGGATTAACTGCAAGTGCTGGGGGCTGGGAAAGAGACTGAGGCAGCCCAACCTAACCTGACACACAGCCGTGGAGTCGATTTGACTCACAGTGACCCCTTGTTGGGTTTCTGAAGCAGTGTCACTACGGAAGTAGACTGCCCAATCTTCTTTCAGAGGAGAGGCTGGTGGGTTTGAACCGAGAGCCTTCTGGTTAGTCAAATGCCTTAGACACTACACCACCAGCGTGCCTACTGAGGCTGACAGCTGCCTCAATTTCATTGGCCACTAGAGGGAGTTCAACATCCACTGAGCTCAGACTCCAGTCAGTACACTAACTCTCTCTCATTTCTCATGTTCTGTTTCATAAAAATGGTTTCAAAACCATTTTGCTGAAATGTAACATGGCTCAAATGTTTAATTCAAATTAAAAAAATACTGAACATAGTTTAAGAGAATCATACCGTCTATGCCGTCACCATTGAAATCTCCAACAGCCACGGAGTAACCTAAACAGGCAAGTAAAAAGGTAAAACACCATCAAGACAAGAAAGTAACTTGTGCACACTTACTGAGTCAACTTTTCTTATCAAATTTTTAAGCAATTCCTTTAATTATGCAACACTTTGTCCTCTAGGGGTAACAGATCCATGTGTGTACAATAAATAAATCTTAAAGACTCAAAAACTCAAATAGGATAGCTCTACTAGAAAAAACAAGACTTACTAACTTTACAAATGAGTGAGTTAAAAACAAGGTAAATTTGTAACTCATCATAAAGGAGCAACAAGTAATAACAGATTCTCTCAACCAGAAAGTAGTATTTCTATAGTGTGCGACTTGGTTTAACAAATAAAAGAGAAATTTAAAAAGAGAGAAAAACAGATAATAAATTCTAAAGACCAAAACTGTTTGTTTAACGGAATGGAAAAATGTTCCGGAGCCAGGCATCCTGGTTTTGCATCTCAGAACAGCAAGTTACGAATGAGTGAGGAAACAGGCTTCTGGGGTTTGCAACTGAGAACCGCAAGTTAGGAGTGAGTGGCCTTGGGCTCCTCTGGGTTTCAGTGCCCTCATCCACAAAATGGGAAGAATAAGGGTACACTTTCATAGACTTGCTGTGAGAATTAAATGAGTTAATACAGATAAAACCCTTAAAACAATGTCTAGAACATAGTAATCCTATCTTAAATGTTAGCTACAATTATTCAGATAAAAATAATTCCACTCATGAATTCAAATTGCTGAAATGTAACATAACCTAAGCATTCAATTCACAATTGTATGTTCATTATATTTTTAAAAATCCTAATATATACTCATAAAAGATTTTTCTACTCAAAGTAGCATGCACAAATAAAGGGTATATATGCCACAACTTTGTAAAGAGCCTGTATTTTGGTTTTCCTTACCCAAATAACTGTCATCAAAAACAGCTTGTGCAGTTCGAGTTGCTAACTGGTTATTATACTTGATGCTATAAATTTTGGGGTCATATTTAGATACGATTTCTGCCAGTTGATCTGAAATGAGCTGACCTAAAAAAAAAAAAGAAAAGAAAAAGTAGATCGAAGATATAAATAGATATGATAGCCTTCTAATGAAAATTTTATTATTTAGATCATGGATACTGTCTGCATAAAATAATATAAATAGTGTTGTATATCAGTGTGGTGCAGTGAATTACTTAATAGACCTCTTCTAAGCATGGTCTTTGTGACTCTCACCAGATGACGGTTGGCACTATGCAAATGTGAGGTGCTTGTGGCTCACCAAGGAGGCTGAAAGCTAACTAATAAGGCAAAGAAGGTACATGGCACCCTTGGATGGGTAGGGTCATGCAAATAAGGTACACGGAACCCTAACATAGGGATTGGCCAGTTTTGCCACTTCCCTAGGCTTAAAATCAACCACTTTCCAGAGGCACAAATGGGGATCTCACTACCAACAAGACTTCACATTGCTTGGTTCTACAATCGATGCCAATGGAAGGAGCAGTCAGGACATCAGATGACATATAGCACGGGCAAGTCGGCTGCAAAAGACCTCTTTCAAGTGCTGAGGAGCAAAGGTGTCTCCTTGAGGACTAAGGTGCACCTGACACAAGCAATGATATTTTCTATCACCTCATATACATGTGAGAGCTGGACAATGAATAAGGAAGACTGAAGAAGAATTGATGCCTTTGAGTTGTGGGTGCTGAAAGTACCATGGACTGCTAAAACAACTAACAAATCTGTCCTGGAGGAAGTGCAGCCGAAATGCTCCTTGGAAACAAGAATGGCCAGACTTCGTCTCACCTACTTTGGTCATGTTATCAGAAGGGACCATTCTCTGGAATAGGATGTCATGCTTGGTAAGGTGAAGGGTCAACACAAGAGTGGAAGGCCCTCAATGAGATGGACTGACACAGTGGCTGTGGTGACGGGCTCAAGTGTAGCTGGGATCGTGGAACTGACGTGAGACCAAGCCGTGTTTTGTTCTGCTGTGCACAGGGTTGCTGTGAGTCGGAGATGACTCGATGGCACCTAACAACAACAATTACCAACAAGAGAAAGAAGAGCCAGGAGTGAAGCAGCACATCTTTGGATCTTAGCTCCAGACGGCAGAGAGATAGCAGACAGACACATGGTAGTAGTAACAAAAGCAGCAGAACCAAGTGACTGGTATGAGAAAGAGTAATATGCTTCCTGGCCCTCGAAGCAAGAACATGAGTGCCTTGGGCAAGTCTTGATGGCAGAGTGGGTTGCCTCTCTAGACAGAGCTAAAAGAGCTTTACAATATTGGCCCAAGCAGGACAGGAACTGAGGCTAGAGAGAAGCGCCTGTGGTGCAGCTGAAAAGAAGCTGTCCTGATCAAAGAATGTACCCTCGAACTGCAACCTGTTACTTCCCTAATAAACCCCGTAACTGTCAATATTGTCTGTGAGTTTTGTGTGGCCAATGCAATGATTGCTAGAACCCAGCAGAGATATAGAGAGTACCATGGGAGGTACGGTTGGTGTCAGAATTGGTAAAAAAGGTGGAGGGTGGCAGCATGTCTGACCTCTGCCTCCTGGGAATCAGCCTTGGGCTGTTGCTGCTGGTCTGGAACAACTTCCCCCTTGTGAAGTTAGGGGAGGTCAGATGCCATCCCACATCCTTTTTGCAATTAGTATTTCTAACTATTGACCTTAAATAACTGTCCTTTGTAAATACTAAATCTAAAATTTAGTTTTTTCCTACTTATAATTCTTTCTATTCAGACAATATTTAAAATTAGTCTCTGCCAAATAAGCAAATATTTGAGAATTACAGGATTTGTTTTAATTCACTAAAAATCAACATTATGTAAATGGAGTAATAAAAAGAAATGACAATTTCCCAATGAGATCTGTTAAAACCTAAAAAATCTGCCAAAGCTATTATATAATGCTATCTTTATAATCAGAGTAATTGATTCAATTGATTTTCTGAAACTAATTATTTGGACACCTTTATGAAGCACTCTGAATGGGCTAATTCACTCTCCTTCACAATCTAAGTTATTAGGTAGAGAAGAAATTGAGATGATTACACAAAAAAACATACTGGCCTTTCCCCACCCCCAAAAGACATTGGTTGATTTACCAGATGTCATGTCCACAAAATTATAAAAATAATCTCTTCACTTATACTATTTTAGGAAGAAATTCATAGTAGTTAAAGTTTTCAATCCTATTCTAATTGGTCCAGCACCATAAGTGGAATGTATAGGACAGAAACTCTCCCGGGCTGGTTTTCTGCTTTATCCCTTGTGCCTGTACAGTGACTAATACATAACAGTAAGTTAGGAAATATTTCTTGAATCAAACAACACAGGAAAATTCATCATCTCTTTGTGATAAGAAAACAGTATCTGTTATTATTTTCTCTATTCTTCCAGGGACAATTCTGGGATCTATGGAAAAATTTAGTCCGGCATACTTATACAGATTGAAAGCTCCTGATTTTAATCTTATTAAAAGAAATCATCCTCTGCCCATTCACTAAGTCCTTTTAGTATTATAGACCACTTATAATAAAACTCCAGTGAACATACTACGAATAGCATGTACACGTTGTTGTTGTTGTTGTTGTTGTTGTTAAGTGCCGTCGAGTCGTTTCCGACTCATAGCGACCCCATGCACAGAAGAACGAAACACTGCCCGATCCCGCGCCAGCCCCACAATCCCTACTATACTTGAGCCCATCATCACAGCCACCATGTCAATCCATCTTGTTGAAGGCCTCCCCCTCTTTCATCGACCCTCCACCCTACCAAGCATGACATCCTTCTCCAGGGAATGGTCCCTTCTTACAA